GTGGGGGCGTTTCTGTCCCATTAGATCTCTGCGGTTGTAGGGGGTTATTGTTTTACCTCTTTTTTCCCCCCTGGTGTTTGATAGTGAGATGAAGGGCAGGAGGAGGGCCCTTGTCTCACAAAGGACCTTCTCAATACCCTTTGCAAATGACTCTGCTTAGAGACGTTTACTTTTGTGTTTTCCTTTGAATTGTGAAATAATTTCAGAATTAAAAGAAAATTTTAAAAAAGTACAGAGGCTTTACATTTATTCTTTACCCTGATTTCCCATATGTTGCCATCTGACCGCAATACAATAACAGAATCAAGACCAGTAACGGCAGTACTGATTATCTACAGACTTTACTGGTATTTCTCCTCTACTTGTCCCACCCGTTTCCTTTCTGTGGCACAAGATGCAGTTCATGATTTAGTTGCATGTAGTTGCTATATCTTCAGGAAGCACTCGGACCATTCAGAACCATTCAAGCATAGAGCTTGCCCAGGAAACTGTGGATTGCAAATTAACTGCTTTTTTGCTGGTTGCCAGGGCCATTTGAGAGTATCTAACTGGGTCATGATGGCAGGCTTTGACCCGATGACCACATTCTGCTTCATGACTGTGTCTACCCTTTGGCCAGCAACCTTCTCAGATTCTCCTACCTTTCAATACATTCCTTTCTATCGTCTTTGAAGGCAGTGTTTTTTTCTCAATCTGGGCTTCATCTCTGGATGATGTTTTGTAACTTTGGTCACTTCAGAAAACCCACTTGCTTGTGGGTCCATCAGGGGCCATTTCTTTGTCCCAGAGTCTGTTGCCTGCGTAATGCCTCATCTGGGTCTAAGTATTTCCAAAATCCAACTTGTGCTCACCTGCTGAATGTCACCCAGCTTGCAGACCTGAACTCCCTGAGATGCTCTCTCCATCACTTCCAAGCCAACCCATGGCTTTGGTGTACTCACATAGTTGGCTATTGCAGCCAAATATATACTCCTCTGCATATAATCTTTGTGTATTTCCCATTGTTCTTAGAATAAATACATGTCTCTTTAATAGGGTCTTCAAGCCCCTGCATGGCTGGTCCAGATTCATCTTGTACTCTTTGTCTCATGTTTTCTACTCTGGCTTTACTTTTCCCCTTGGGTTCTGTTCCTGCTGTCTGGGATGCTGTTCCCTGCTTATCCAGCATAATCTTGATCTTCTGAAGATGTTTACCCAGTCATCTCTTGCTCAGGAAAGCACAGTCTTACATTCATGACTAGATCCAAAACCAAAACCAGACCAACTGCCATCAAATTGGTTCCTACTCATCGTAACCGTATAAGCCAGAGTTGAACTGCTCCATAGGGTTTCTGAGGTTGTAAATATGTATTTTTTAAAAGTTTTTATTGTGAATTGAGTGAAATGAACAGAGCAGAGCATCAGTTTTACTTTCAATAAATCATACATTTCATTTAATCTCAATGACTGCAAGACCCTCAGTGTAACATCCCTTTTTCCACTTTCTCTTTGTGTTTCTTGTTGCCATTCCTTCTTCTTTTCTGACCCACCTGAATTTAGTCCTTGGGCAAATGCTGTCCGTTAGGTCTCAAATGGTTGACTACTCTGTGGTGTGCATACCTCATTAGTGTTATCCCCACTATAAACCTTTCTATTGCTTGGTTGAAAATTGAGCCACAAGAGTAAGTAAGGCTGTAAATCATTACAGAAACAAGTGTGTCTCATCTTTCTCTATGCAGTGGATGGTGGGCTTGAACTGCTGACCTTTCAGTTAGCAACCTACTGCTTAACCCACCATGCCACCAGAGCTCATATGACTAGGTCCAGATCCCATATTGCAGATGCAGGACCCAGCAGTGCTTCATTGTTGTACAACAGGGTCCAGTTAGCATTGACTCAACAGCACCTAACTGCAGCAGCAATCTCTTTGACCTTCTCTTTTTGGTTTTGTTATTTTATACATTATGTCAGGTGTCTAGCAGATGCTTTCACTGTTTACTGAATGAATGAGGCTGAATTAATATGCTTGCCCAACAATTTCTTCTGGACATTATTTCTGTTTTAAGTTTACTTTTTCCTGTAGGAGCACTGGCGACTCATACCCTATTTGTCTTTTGTTTCATCTAGGTGTGGCAAGAAGGATGGAGGGGCAACATGAGTGAATAGAGGGCCTAGGGAGCCCTACTCAAAGCCTGAAAGGAAACAGTGAGTTTCTGCTGTCTTTACTGCTAAGCTCCCCCACTCCACCCTGGTTGAGTCTTCTGTATTAGACAGTCTTTGGACAGGTATTTGTTCTGCAGATAATTCTGAAGAATATGTCTTTAGTTAGCATCAATCATGTATCAAGAGTTCCCAGTTTTTTTCTAAATAGCAATCTTAGAGTAAAACAGTGGAGCTATTTATAAAGACCTGTGAAGGATGTGGTGAATTGGGTGTCCTGTATCTTGCATGAATAGTTCAGTAAGAATGGATTCAGACCCTACAGTGTGCCAGGAACTGCACTGGCTTCTGGGAATACAAAGAGAAGCAAGTCCTGTACCCACCCTGCCATTGGTGGGGAGGAGAGAGGGACATTTAATGGTTTCAACTCTCAGATGGGTTGTTTCTGTTTGACTGGTAAAAGCTGTGGTAGAAGAAGCCTTGATGGATGGAGAAGGGTATTTCAGGGAAGAGGGTGGCTTGAAATGAGTCCAGGAGGGCTAGAGAGGAGCTGGGGATCAGTCTCTGAGTGGCCTTGACCTTATTGTGGAGTCTGGTTGGAATGTCACTCTGGGAGATTTTTGAAGTCTGTGAGGACTGATTGGTGTCATAATGACCAGTTAGGGGCTGTCATCGGCTGTTGGTGAGTGGATAAGAGCTAGAGTAGGGCACAGCCCAGAAAAAGGCGATGAGCTGCTGAAGGGTGGAGCACTGTGGCATATTACGGAATCACACTCCCTGAGTCAAACCTGGCTCTGATGCAGGTAAGAAGTCAGTATGTTTGAATTTTATTAAATACCAAAGTACCCCTTCGTTGTCCAACAGTATTTCTGCAACAAAATGTATGACTATCTAGAGTATATGGTATAAATGAGGATTAAAGAAACTCAGCTCAGATGACGTCAGGTTTTGCTGCCAAAAGAGTGTGTTGCACACGTAGAAATAAAAAAACCCACTTTTCAGAGTATATTTGGCCTTTGGATTTAAGAGTAAGGGGTTATGTATCTGAAATGATAGCATACACTTGTAGGGTCAGTCTTTGTTGTTGTATGCTTCCACACATTAACTTTGTTAACCTCACAACATTCCTGTGAAGGTTGATGCTATGAAACAAGGGCTCAGAGAAGGGAAGTGACTTGCCTAAAGGCACACAGCTCATAACTGGTGGCTCCATTGTTTACATTCTTACCGAACTGAAACTCATGAACAGGGGATACTGAAAGACCAAGGTCTTTCTCTCACATTTCAGTCACCTGATACCTGCTTGCAACCAACCTAATTTGAGTGCTGAAGACAGAACAGAAGGAGGCAGGAACCCCAGAAATGTCTTATCAGATAACCTTACAAGTATTAACTAGGACCTGTGGGGACTGGAAGTTTGTGGTCCAGTTAGGTGATAAGCTTTTCTCACAAGTTATAGGGAAAGTGAAATGTGATACCAAACATCCCAGAGGAGGAGTTCCATGGTCAGAATTGCTGGGATGTGAGCCGGTTGGGGCATTGAGAAAGTTTATGTGAACGATTTCATAAAGATTCTATGAGAGTTTTCAGAAGGGACACATTACTGTGTTCTAATTTTCTTGCTGTAGCTGTGCAAGATGTGTGTGCTCTGGAAACACAGAAAGGACCTTCTGCCTGCCACTTGCTCTCTCATCCTGCAGAGCTGCACTCTTCCCTGCTGCCATGGGGTCCTGTTTGGTCCAACTCTATTGTGTTTCCTCACATGTTTCTTTGCAAGTGTTCATTTGTCTGTGTGTGTGAAATATGTATGCAAAACATATAAAATGCATAGAAAAAACTTTAAGAATAATGGAACAACTGAATATTCCACCTAGTTTGAGAAATAGGACACTTACCAAAATCTTAGGAGCCCCCTATGTACTTGTCTCATTCATGTCCTTTCTCTTCAGAAGTAACCACTGTATATAAATTTGTCTTAATCATTTCCTTTCTCTTTGTAGTTTTAGCATGTACTATGTTTATACTTTTCTCTCCAGACCACATATTGTTTAGTTTTGCTTAACCTTTTGGTTTTTATGAAATGAAATCATGTAGCAAGTATTTTTGTGACATCTTTGTTTGCTCATGTTTGTGTTTTTGAGGTGATGTTCTAATCCATTCTATTTCATGTTTTCCATTGTATTCGCCCTATTGATGGCTGCTTGGATGTCTTTAATTTTTTTGCTACTGTAAATAAATCATGCTGCAGTGGTCATTCTTCATGTTTCTTCTAGAGGAACTCTCTAGAGCAGTGGGTCTCGGGTGGAGGGAGTTACCTTAGAGGACATCTGGCAATTCAAACCTACCAGCTGCTCCTTGAAAATCCTATACAGGGTCTCTGTGAGGTGGAACTGACTCAATGGCACTTAACAACAACAACAACAGGATGGGGGTATTTTTTCTTTTCCACTCTGGCTAGACAGTTCATCAGTTGCCCTTTCCTGAGATACTGTATCTGGTTTCCTCTGGTTAACATTGTTGCCTCTGAATTAACCAAGCTCCCAAAGGTATGTAGGTCTTTCCCAGCCTCTTAGAAACAAATGGAAGTTAATATTAAATAAATAAAATGTAAAATAGTTGTTGTTGTTCCCTTGAGTTGGTTCCAACTCTAAGCGACCCTACTTGGGGTTTCTGAGGAGTGGTTGGTGAGTTTGAACAAAATAAGGGGACTTTAAGCTGGGCATTTTTTTCCCCCTCTCTGTTAAATCATAAGAAGACCCTACTCTCTTGTTTATTAAGAAATAAAATTTTAAATTGACTTTCATTGTCTTACAGATTCTTATACCCTGTGCGTAAAGACAACCTGACCCTCTCAGTTTATCATGGCCTCAACCTCAAGGTAAGACTGTTGTTTTATGGTTTTCTGGAAGTATTTATTCCTCTGTGTTTTTATAAGACCTGCTGATCTCTTGTAGCATAGCGGTTAATGACTCAACTACCACCCCATCTACTGGCCTCACTGAGCACTCCTTATCCTAGAAGTGTAGGGGGAAGAGAGAGAAAAGAAAAAGAGAGAAGGAGGGAAGAAAAGTTGAGGCAGAAAAGGAAGTATTTTGTGAAGGAGTGACCATTTGGCCCCAGTGTCTACCAAAAACCAAACCCATTGTGAGCAAGCTGATTTCTACTCATAGCTCTCCTACAGGACAGAGTGGAACAGCTTCACAGAGTTTCTGAGACTATACATCTTTACGGGAGCAGACAGATCATCTCTCTCCCATGGAGCACTTGGTGGCTTTAAATTGCAGACCTTGCACTCAACAGCTCAGAACTTAACCCGTGGAACTACCAAGCTCTTTCTATACTTGCCTAAAAGATGAAATTTATAATTTTTTTCTTTTATGAATCCAGATGGTTGCCTTTGGGGCCTCCTTGGTCCCTATAGGCTTTTCCAACGCCAATATTTGAATAGCCATGTGCAGCAGGTGTTTGCAAGGTCTGTGGGCTGGTGATGGCAGAGACCCTGGCTTGGGAGGCATATTGGTACCACGTGAAAATGGCACCCGGGTAGGAAGTGAAGTTGACTGGGTCATGTGCTTGTCTTCCAAGAACAAGGTCTACAGTAGGAATGGCTTTGGTTTCTTTATCTTCCCTTGTAGGCTGGTTTCCTTTATTGGCCCACTTAGCTTTCTGAATAGCTAATGTTCCTGGAGATCAGCTTTCCTGCCTTGCAGCACCCATCTTGTGATGTTTAAGTGAATTTAAGTCACCTTAAATCTGAAGTTCATGGGCAGGGCCTGTAGTGATAATGGGAGTGGGCTTCAAAATGCTCATGGAAAAATGAAATTTAAAAAAAAATTAAAGAAATTTTCCCATGAACTTTTTGAAACCCCCTCATAGTTGTCATAAGACCTGTGTCTTTCCGCTTGTCAGGAGGGTCTTTTTTCTTAGAGGTAGTGGCCTAGAGGTGGGCACCAGGCAGCAACTAGAGTGCTCACAGCAAAATAATCTTTTACAAGCTGGGTCTGACTACGTCACTGTCCTGCTCATATCCCTCCATGAGCCCCAGTCCCTGGTGCCTCTGTTTGGATTGCCTCCCCTCAATGCCATGTTTGTCTTCACTGTATTTGTAACCTCATTGACCTTGTGGCTCTTTCCCAGATGCCATGCCCTATATCCCCAGAGGCCTGTGCCTGCCTGTCTCCATCCGGAACACCTTAGCACCAGCTGGGTGCTAAGCACCTTAACAGGGCTTGATCCCTTGTCTCTATCAGCTTGTCCTGCCTGAAATAGCAAAACCAGATGCACCCCCATCCCTTATCGAAGATGACACTAATTACCACCCAACATTATCTTGTATGTTTACTTGTGTACTGACCTGTTGTGTGTCTCCCAGTTAGTGCTATTTAGCCTGGGAATGGAGTCTGCCATTTATGGTGGTGGTGGTGGTTGTAGTTGTGTGCTTTTCAGTTAGTTCTGACTCATAGCAACCCTGTATAGGGTTTCTGAGGCTGTAAATCTTTACGGGAGCAGAAAGTCACATCTTTCTCCTGCAGAGCCACTGGTAGATTCAAACTGCTGACCTTGCAATTAGCAGTGTAACTCATAATCCACTATGCTACCAGCACTCCTTTCCATTTATGGTGGTGGTGTTTGTTACGTGCCATCGAGTGGGTTCCAATGTAAGCAACCCATATAGGGTTCCCAAGGAGTGGCTGGTGAGCGTGAACTGCTGACCTTTGAACCATAGTTCAAACCGACTTTGCAGTCCAGTCCAATAGCCCACAGCACCACACCAGGACTCCTTCATTTATGGTAGGCTTCTATTAAATACAGTTCTCTCTTGTACATTTGGTTCCTATGTTCCATGGGGGAGAGAGTTTGAATAGCAGGGGTTTCCATGTTTTCCAAATCTGTTTGGTTTCTGAATTGTAGTTGTCAGATTTTATAGCTGAGTATATGAAAGTATGTCTGAATATATCTGAATCTGTTCAGCTCCTGAATTTGGGTTGTGAGAGTTCAGATACAGAGAGTTTGGGAATTAGGGAAAAGATTGAGACATGTTTGCCAAAGAAGCAAATAAAAAAGAAAAGTTAAAACAGAGCATGAAAGCAAAACTGCTGAAACACTGAGTGAGGGGACAGAGTAGAGTGTTGTCATTCCAGTATCTGGGGTTTTTTGTTGGCAGTTACTGTTATCTGTGGTGATGGTAGTCTCATTTGGATTTATCACTAGAGGCACGGTAATTTCTTTTTTGTTTTTTTTAGTTGCTGTTGAGTCCATTTTGACTCATGGCAGCCCCGCAGGTGCAGACTAGAACTGCTCCACAGAGTCTTCAAGGCTGTTGTAGCCTTTCAGAAGCAGATCTCCGGATCTGTCTTCTGAGACTGCCAACCTTTGGGCTAGTAGTTGAGCATTTGACCATTTGTAATATATATATATATTACCACTTGTAATTATATATATATATAAATAATTTATTTACGAAGAAAACCAATTAACTAGCTGCCATTGAGTTGACTTTGATTCATGTTGACTTCATGTGTGTGAGAGTAGAACTGTGTTCTGAAGGCTTTTCAGTAGCTGCTTTCTTAGTAGATTGCAAGTCTTTCTTCTGAGGTATCTCAGGGTGGACTTGAACCACTGAACTTTTGGTTAGCGGTCAGGGCACTTCACTATTTATACCACCTTGAGAACAAATGGAAAGTGTATAACGCGTCTTTACAATAACTCCATCATTTAAATATTACCACAGTTAAAAGACTAATCTGGAAAATTTCTTTACCTGGTAACAGAAACCAGTAGTTCCAGATCCGGGATACTGGTCAAGCTAAGATGCTGTGGAAAGCGCAGCCTCTTTACTGGCTGGTGTTTTTTTTTTTTTTTTTTTTACTGGTTGGTTTTTTATTTTGGGACTTGACCTCCCTGCATGGTGCAGAGTCTTCTGCCATTGCCTCTCTGATTCTGTTTCCTGTTGTTACAGAGGTGCTGTGGATGGGAGAGGTGCCCACTCGAAGGTAAAGTCTGCTAAGCTTCTCGAGGTTCTGAATGCTCTAGAGGAAGAAGAGTCCAGCATTGACAGGGAGGAGATTTTCATCTCACCCCCCGACAATGCTGCAGGGGACTTCACTGATGAAGACTCAGATGATGAAGATGGCCGGTGTGGTGCTCACCTGCCAGGGAGCATGCTTCATGCCACTGTGGTGTCTGAAGACTCTGGTACTAGGGAAGATAATGACAACTTGGAGCTGCAGCCAGCAAAGAAGAGGCAGAAGACCATGGTTGAACCTCCACGGGTTTGGACCAAACGAGATCTCCGACCCAACTTTGGCAGTTGGACAGCATCAGATCCTCATATCGAATACCTCAAAAGTCAGGAACTGAGTCCCGTAGGCCTCTTTGAATTATTTTTTGATGAAGGAACAATTAATTTCATTGTTAATGAGACCAATCGTTATGCTTTGCAAAAAAACGTCAACCTGGGTCTCACAGTCCAGGAATTGAAGTGTGTTTTGGGCATTTTGATTTTAAGTGGTTATGTCTCCTATCCAAGGAGAAGGATGTTTTGGGAAACGTCTCCTGATTCACATCACCACCTTGTGGCGGATGCAATTAGAAGGGACAGGTTTGAACTGATTTTTTCATACTTGCATTTTACAGATAATAATGAACTTGATGACAGTGATAGATTTGCCAAGGTCAGGCCTCTTATTATCCGGATAAACTGTAATTTTCAGAAGCACGCACCCTTGGAAGAATTTTACAGCTTTGGTGAGTCCATGTGTGAGTACTTTGGGCACCGAGGATCCAAGCAGCTGCACACAGGAAAGTCTATTGGTTACAAGATCTGGTGTGGGACAACCAGCAGAGGCTATTTGGTGTGGTTTGAGCCCTCGCAGGGCACATTGTTCACCAAGCCAGAAAAGGGTTTGGATTTAGGAGGTAGTATGGTGATAAAATTTGTGGATGCACTTCAGCAGCGAGGCTGTCTGCCATACCACATATTTTTTGACAAGGTTTTTACGAGTGTCAAACTGATGTCCATTTTGAGGAAAAAGGGAGTAAAGGCCACAGGAACTGTTTGTGATTATAGGACCGAGAGATGTCCTCTCAAAGACCCCAGAGAACTGAAAAAAATGAAGAGGGGCTCATTTGATTACAAAGTTGATGAGCGTGAGGAGATCATTGTGTGCCGCTGGCATGACAGAAAAATGGTCAATATTTGCTCCAATGCAGTGGGCATAGAACCTGTGAGGCTCATCAGTCGTTATTCAAGGGCTGCTAAGATTCGGACCCAGGTCCATCAGCCATCACTGGTGAGGCTGTACCAGGAGAAGGTGGGGGGTGTTGGACGCATGGACCAGAACATCGCCAAGTATAAGGTGAAGATTTGGGGCATGAAGTGGTACTCAAGCTTCATTGGCTACGTCATTGATGCTGCTCTCAACAATGCTTGGCAGCTGCACAGGATCTGTTGTGAAGATGCTCAGGTGGACCTCCTTGCCTTCCGGAGATATGTTGCCTGTGTGTATCTGGAGAGCAATGCAGACACATCGTCCCATGGAAGATGGAGCAGGAGGCTAGAAACGGAGAGCCGCTTTGATATGATTGGCCACTGGATCATTCACCAGGACAAGAGGACCCGCTGTGCCCTCTGCCACTCTCAGACCAACACTCAGTGTGAGAAGTGCCAGAAGGGCGTCCATGCCAAGTGCTTTCGAGAGTACCATATTAAGTGATGCCACAAGGGAGGTGTTGGGCCAGAGAGGAGCCACACTCCAGGGTTTGCTGGAAAAAACACTGAAGGGTTTCTTGGCACATACTCAGTGGGATAGTTTGTTTTTTACTGAAATGTTTACATCGAATAGTTGGAGTACTTTCATTTTACTTGTATGTTGGTAAGAAAAAGACTTTTAGTTCAGTGTATAGATCCCTTTTCTTTCAAATAAAAAATTTTGTCTTGGGATAATTGCTGAATCCTAGTAAGGACAATCCAACATAACCATAAACTTTAGAAAAACCAACATGAATAGCAAAAATGTCTTAGTATGAAATTCTGTGGTTTGTAGTTCAAGATAAAGGTAATTGTATATAAATATTATATCAGTGAAGGGCTTCCTGATTATATCTATTTTGTATAAGTCCAAAGCTATCAAATTTCCCAAGGATAAATACTCTGCCTTGTATTTATTCATAGGCCCAGAGTTGCAGAGTTCATATTTTCTTGGGAGAAACATTTTCTCAATATGGGTATATCGTTGGGGAGTGCATTTTTAGAAATAACATGAAGTAGGAGTCTTGGTGTGGTGCTGCAGGACAAGCACTGGACTGTTAACCACAGAGTTGATGGTTCAAACCCACCAGCCACTCCTTGGTAACTCAAAACAGGGTCACTATGAGTCAAAACTGAGTCAACGACACTTAATAACAACAAGGTATGTATAACTCTCCCCAAAAGGATGGCATAATTTATTAGAAGCATTGTGTATTTTGCCACTGATTCAACTTCCACCATTATAAATTGCTGAACATGCTGTTGTTGGGTGCCAACCAGTTGGTACTGACTCATACTGCCGCTCTGAACAACAGGACGAAACACTGACTGGGCCAACCTCACAATTGTTGCTATGTCTGAGTGCATTGCTGCTGCCCCGGGCCAATCCATCTCATTGGGGTACATTCTCTTTTTCTCTAACTTTCTACTTTACCAAACATGATGCCCTTCTCCAGGGATGGGTCCTTTTTAATAATATGTCTGAAGTACGAGAGATGAAGTCTGGTCATCCTGGCTTCCAAGGAGCACTCTGGCTGTACTTCTTCTAACACAGATTTGTTTGTTCTTTTGGCAGTCTATGGTACTTTTCAATATTCTCCAACACCATAACTCAAATGCATCAATTCTTCTACGGTCTTCATTATTCACTGACCAATAAACAACATTCTTATCAACGGAGAAAAGATTGAAGTTGTCAAGGACTTCATTCTTGGATCAACTATCAACACTCACGGAAGCAGCAGTCAAGAAATCAAATGACAGATTGCATTAGGCAAATCTGCTGCACAAGACCTTTTGAAAGTGTTGAAGAGCAAAGATGTCAGCTTGAAGACTAAGGTGCGCCTTACCCAAGCCATGGTATTTTCAATAACCTCATATGCATGCGAAAACTGGGCAGTGAATAAGGAAGACCATAGAACAGTTGATGCTTTTGAGTTATGGTGTTGGAGGAGAATATTGAAAGTACCACGGACTGCCAAAAGAACAAACAAATCTGTGTTGGAAGAAGTGCAGCCAGAGTGCTCCTTGGAGGCCAATTTGGCCAAATTTCATCTCTCTTACTTCGGACATATCGTCAGGAGGGACCAGTCTCTGGAGAAGGATATCATGTTTGGTAAGGTGGAGGGTCAGAGAAAAAGAGGAAGACCCCCAACGAGATGTATTGGCCAAGTGGCAGCATCGATGGACTCAAGCGTGGCAATGATAGTGAGGTTGGCCCAGAATCGGGCATTGTTTTATTCTGCTGTGCATAGGGTCACTATGAGTCGGTACCGACTCGATGCCACCTAACAACTTTCATATGCATATGAGGTTATTGAAAATACCATGGCTTGGGGTAGATGCACCTTAGTCTTCTTTAATGTCTTGGCTGCTGCATCCATGAGTGTTGATGGTTGATCTGAGAGAAATGAAGTCTGACAACTTCAATCTTTTCTCCATTTATATGGATAGGTATGTTTATATTGGTCCACTGGTGAGGATTTTTGTTTTCTTTACATTGAGATGCAGCCCATACTGAAGGCTGGGCTTTGATTGTTATCAGTAAGTATTTTAAGTCCTTTTTGTTTTCAGCAAGCAAGGTTGTTAATGAGTCTTCCTCCAATCCTGATGCCACGTTTTTCTTCATATAATCCAGTTTTTTGAACTATTTGCTCAGCATATAGATTAAATAAATATGGTGAAAAAATACAGCTCTGGCACACACCTTTCCTAATTTTAAAACATTGAGCGTTTCCTTGATCTGTTCGAACAACTGCCTCTTGGTCTATGTACAGGTTCCTCATGAGCTTAGTTAAATGTTCTGGAATACTCATTCTTTGCAAGGTTGTCCATAGTTTATGATCCACACAATTGAAAGACTTTGCCTAGTCAATAAAGAACAGGCAAAAAATGTTCTGGTATTCTCTGCTTTCAGCAAAGATACATCTGATGTCAGCAGTGATTTCCCTTGTTCCACGTCCTCTTCCAAATCCGACTTGAACCTTTGGAAGTTCTCTATGTATGGTTGCAGCCGTTTTTGTATTATCTTTAGTAATACAAAACTTAGTGGTATGTGTTTAGGCAATGAAAGACATTTTTATGTATAAAACTGTGTAAATATATTCCAGAAGAATAATAAGAATACATGTAAAAATACAAGGATAAATCACTAGGGTTTTAGTTCATCCATGCAAGGGTTTATTATAAACACATGTGTTTAAACAAATCTCTGGAATCACTGAAATGGCTATAGACAAGTTCTCTCAGGGTACCTTTATTCTCATTTGGGTGACTAAAAAAAAATGGTCAAATGAAAATAGTGCCTTCTTAGAGGATCTGGCTGGTTAGTTAAATTCAAGGCTAAGAGGTTATTTCAGAGGTTATGGTAACTGTGCTTTTGTATTCCCAAAGCAATTTTGATAGTCCCCCCTGCCCCTACAAGGATGCAGGATGATTATGGGGGCATATTAGGAAGAAGATTTTGTTTTTATTTATTTTTATCTTTTTATTGTGAATTGAGTGAGGGTTAACTGACAAGATCATCAGCTGTACATTCAACAAAATACATGCTTTGTTTCATCTCAATGATTGTAATCCTCTCCTAGTTGGATAACAACAGTTATTCTACTTCCACCCTGAGGCTTCCCTTTTATAGCTTACATTTCACAAATGAACAAAACAAAAATATTTGATGTATACATACAAAACAAAAAATATATATTGATTTAAGTGTCTTAAGGGTATATCCTGCAAGCCTGAAGGTGCACAGCGTGACTCATTCCATGGACCTAGAGCACAGAGCTGCTCTATCTCACCATGCCAGTGCCTCTACACTGCCTCAGCCTCCACTCATGCTCTTCCTTCTTGATGTTCTAGGTAGGATCTCACCCTCCACTCATGCTCTTCCTTCTTGATGGTTCTGGGACTGTTCGTGAAATGAAAGGTTACTCCCCTCTTTTAGTTACGCATATTGTACAATTATAGTTGTGATAATCGCAAATGGGATCATGAAATTCTATCAGTTTCAAACCCCCTTCTCCTTTCACCAGATGCATCTGGAGAAGAGGAATATTTTTCAGTGGGGATTCAACCTTACCCTTCTTATTCTGAGACTAAACACACTCTTGAAAGCTTATAAAGCAGCCACTTCATGTCTTTCTTACCCCATCCCTCTTTTTGATAGCCAATGTCTAGATTGTCCTTCCCTGTCAACCCAGTGCACAGAGGAAACACGCTTCTTCCTTGATATGAGGAATACTTCCATTCTGGTTCAATTTTTAAGCAACTGCATTCATAAGCTTAAGGTCTAGGTCATCAAATTGTAGGAATTTATACTTATTCACAATATCAAGCATCTTTATATTCATCTCGTAGAGTTCTGGTCAGCTAACCATGCAAGCTAGGTCAAATGGGTGGTGGTTGGTGTTGTCAAGTGCCATCGAGTCGATTCCAACCCATAGTGACCCTGTATAGAGTTTCCAAGGAGCAGCTGGTGAGCTTGAACCGCCTACCTTGCAGTTCAAATGACTTTGCAGTCTGGTGCATTAACCCACAGTGCCACACCAGGACTCCTGGTCAAATGGGTACTTGCTACAAATTTGGGGATTCACTCACACCTGCCTGCACTTCAGACCACCTGAATGCTTCACTCTCAGCCGTGGCCTCCAGAGGTTAGGTCACTGCCCAGGGACTCAGGAGTTCACACATCACCTAAACTTCAGATCAGCCAGCCCTTCCTCTTCTCTCAAGGTCAATGAATGTCAATAAAACATGACCAAACTCAACCTGTGGCTTTATCACTGCATTTCCCCCACTTCCACTCTCAAGTAGACCCAGGTGATCACCAGCAAGTATACTAGACTGCTTGCAAGTTTCCTTTGAGTTTCAGTCTTAGAAGGGAGTTTTCCCTGATCAGTTGATTTTTCTTGATGCCTCCAAAGCAAACAGCTTCCTTGATATTCTAGCAGCCAAACAGTCTGTTTTTTTTTTTTCTTCTTCCTGTAGACCTTTATTTTAATAAGATTCTTCATTTCTCCCAGCAGTTCTGGGTTGGTCTGCAAGTATTTTCAAGTGGAAGTATCCCAACTCAGAAGGTTCTGGGTGTGGCTCAGGATTCCACCTAAGGCTCCATATTCATGTAATATTTGTAGTTTTGTGATATAATTTCATTCAGCATAATGTCCTCAAGGTTCACTTCATTATTCAGGTGTTTTGAAGAGTCATCATTATTATTAAAGGTTGCATAGTATTCTGTTGTGTGTATGTACCAATGTTTGTTTATCCATTATTCCATTGATGGGCACTTAAGCTGTCTCTGTCTTTTTGCTATTGTGAATAGTGCTGTGATGAACATTGCTGTACTCATGTCCTGGCTTGTATTTTTTGTGGATATGTACCCAGTAGAGGGATTGCTGTATCATAAAGTGTATCTAGTTCCAATTTTCTGAGGCAGTGCTATACCGTTTTTCAGAGTAGTTAAACTAT